TGAAGCCTTCAATGAAGCGGCGATAGAAGTTTGCAAATCCGAGGAATGCCTGTACAGCTTTAATATTTTCAGGGACCGGCCATTCCTTAACTGCCTCCACTTTGTCTTCTGACATAGATACTCCCTTTTCCGAGATGTGATAGCCTAGGTACTCTACTTCTCGGACATGGAAGGATGTCTTACTGATCGAGGCGCAGAGCTTAGCTTCCCTAAGCTTCTGTAGAACCTTCTTGACCAGTAGCTCATGCTCCTTCTCAGTTTCCGAGTAGATGAGGATGTCGTCGATATAGACAACCACTCCTTCATCCAGTAGTTCCTTTAGCACATCATTGATCATTGCCTGGAAGGCGGAGGGGGCGTTGCATAGACCGAACGGCATCACATTATACTGATACAGTCCATAGCGGGTTCTGAAAGCGGTCTTCCACTCATCACCTTCTGCTATCCTAATCAAATTGAAGCCATTCTTCAGGTCTATCTTTGTGAAGATCTTGGCCTTGAACAACCTGTCCCTGAGCTCACTCATGATAGGCAGCGGGTACTTGTCCTTGACAGTGACCTTGTTCAATCCTCTGTAGTCCACACAAATCCGCAATGTCCCATCCTTCTTAGGAATGAACAATATGGGGGCCGCAGCGGGGCTATTAGATCTAGAGATCTTTCCTGAAGCCAATTCTTTGTCCAGGTACTCTCGGAGGGCCTTCAACTCTGGAGCGGAACAAGGGTATAGCGGGCCAAATGGGGGAGCGGTGTCAGGCAAGAGTTTGATTTTCAAATCATTATGGGAATGCGGCGGCATTTCCCCAATCCTCTCTTGACTGAACACATCAGCCCATTCCCGGTATAGGTGGTGTATTTTCTCAGCAATATCACCTCCGTCCTCATCATGCCATACTGAAGCAACCAATTGATAGACTGTCTCTTCTTCTTCCAGCATCTGGTATGGAGAGATCAGTTCAATCTTGGTGGCCGCTGGGAGACAATTCTGCTTGCAGTAGTCACTCCACCAGCTCATGGTGTTGAGTTCCCAATTGATATCCGGGTTATGCTTCCTAGCCCAACTAATTGGTAGGTAACCGGTCATTCCTTCTTCCAATGTAGCCACCTCCCATCGGAGTGTCTCCTTATGATTTCCCATAGTCATGTGGACCGGGTGAGTGTAATACTCGCCTCCTCCCATCATGACATCTCCTTGAGCATCAAACATTGTCAGAGGTTGATCCCGCCGCACTAAGGGAATTCCGTGTTTTCTGACAAAACTCTGGTTGAGGATAGCTCCTGTACAACCGGTGTCAAACAGGAAGGACCCTTGGGCGCCTTCATCCTTTCCTTTGACCGTCCATGACAGTCCTGCCTTCAGTATAGGTCTTTTTCCATGTACTGGTAAGGAGGGAAGCCTCTGTTCCAACCTTCTTTGCTTAACAGCGGGTTCTGAACTTGTTTCTCTTTGTCTTTTCAACATAGCTAATAGCTTCGGGCACTACTAAGATCAAAGGATCCTTTGGTTCTATTCCCAAGCGATAATATAGCAGGTATGATGTGTAGTAGTTTTTTGGTAGCGGTTTGGAAGTGTCTTGTAGCAAATATAACTTTGGTAGAGCACTGACAGACCAGCTGTTTCGGGTCCTAAACCCATCCTCAGAGTGCTTGGAGCAATCAAATAGGCAGAAACACAATCATAATTTATTCATGAGAAACATAGAAACGGAAAAACCCATATGAAGGAAAAACTAGTAAACATAGACTCAAACAGACACTTTTCTACCAGAGGATTTCATTGTCCGAGTCTTGCTCAGGCTGGAAAACAAAATCTTCTTTAACCTCCGGGAGTACAACAAGTGGATCCTCTGCTACAACAGCAGCCACTTTAGCCTTCTTCTGAGAGTTGGACTTGCCATTCCCTCTTTTCCGCTTTTGTACTCTCACTGCTGCCACTCGGACAACAGTAGGTTCCTTGGACCAACAATCGGTCCATTTGTGTCTGGACTTGCCGCACTATTGCACAAGTCAGTCTATGCACTCTACCAATAGGGAGTACCGAAAGGTCATACCTTCAAGCATACTTCTGCTTTCCTTCTTTCTTCTAGAATATCCCCCGGGATACCCTTCAGTTCCGCCGCTCTGTCCTTAGGTCCGGTGGCCTTCTGAGGTCCGGAGGAGCTTACAGCTTCTCTCTTCCTCTTAGTCTGCCGGTCCTTCTCAGCAGGAGGATCTTTCTTGGTTCGAGGGGGTGCCTTCTCAGCTGCCATCCCTTGATACCTCTCATGGGTGTGCCCTAACTCTCTTAGAGCAGCTATCCGCTCCATCAGGGACTTTGGCTTGGGATTGAAAAGAGCCCAACTCATGCCTAGGTCCGCAAGGAGGGAATTGTTAATCTTATCATCCACCAACTGACCCTCATAGCCAGTCTTCCACATCAGCTGAATGATAGTATTCAGGAAGAGGTCTATTCCTCCTCGAGCCGTGTGGGTAAGGGTATTCCAATGGGCTACAGCATCATCTCTAGAGATGGCTTCGCCGAAGGCTGCTCTAAAAGCATCCACAAAGGAATCCCATCGCTTCCATCTCTCATCTAACTTCACCGGCATCCCTCCAGCAAGGCGATTGGCGGAGGCTTGATCAATTGAATTGTGGTATGCCTCATACCATCGGATCGCTGCTTCTCCTTCCATCAAGTTGCCTGCATAGCGGATCTTAACCTCCTCAGAGGTGAAGGATAGGCTCTCAATGGAGAACACATTCTCACATTGCCGGATAAAGGTCTCCACTTGCTCCGCTTTGCCCTGGAACTTGGAGGGTGGTGGTGCCTTGGGTTCTCGGGCCCTGGTAGAAGCAGAAGGGGGAGAGGCGGCCGGAGGTCGATACTGCTGGGACATCATTGCCAACAGCTTCTTCTGCTGCTTCTCCAACTTCTTCTTAAGGTATCTCCGCCAGCCTCTTCTGTCACCACCTTCTGGTTCCGAGTCTGAACTGTCAGAACTGTCTGAATCCCCTGGAGTGGGAGCGCGGGCCACAGGAGGTGGAGGGTTCTGATTTCCACCGCTTCCACCCTGTGCAATAGCTGGAGGGGGAGCGGCGGCCGCAGCAGGAGGGGCCACAGGTGCTACTGGCGCCGGGTTGCTGGCCAGTGGTGAGGTTGCTGCTGGTTGAGCGGCCCCAGACATAGTGAACCTTCCCGGGTTCCTGGCTAGCGGACTAGGAGGTCCTCGGCCTGCACCTGGGTAGAGCTCTCCTTCATAGTCATAGGATCGGTCGGCTCCTCCAAGGAATGGGAGTACTCCACTAAAGCGGCTGGGTGGTAAGGGAGATGCTCCCACCGCTGGCTGCACAATAGGGATAACTCTCCTAGTGGATCGGACCGGAAATGCTGCAAAGGGGCTGGTCTTTCGCTGCATTGTTCTGGTGGCTGCCCTGGAGGAGGACCTGGAGGGTGGATTTGGTGCCGGAGTTCCTGGTCTACCAACCACCAGCCTTTCTTCATCAAGGGCTCGCTGTATCTCGGCAACAAAGTCTGGTGGAGTGGCCGGGTTTGTCCACTCAATCTCCATGGCATCCTCATTCAGTTCATCTCTTTCCGCATACTTCCGGAGTTCTTCCTGGACAGAGTTGACTTCTAGCTTCATGTACTCGAGAGCTTCTGCCATCAGAGCATTCTGTGCTGCCTGGCGCTCTTGTACAAGGAGGAGTGCCTGACTGCCTCGGGTCAACTGATTCTGCAGGCTGTGTTGGAGGTAGGTCTGGAGCTCTGTGAAGAACTGCTGAAGGGAAACCTCGTCGGTATCTTGCCAGGCAGGCTCACAACCGGGAATGTAGGTCTGTAGAGCGGTCCTGGGCTTCTTGACAAGCTGTGTCTGCCCGGTGGCATCAAGCTGGAGGGGCACCGGCTGCCATTCAATTTGAAGGGGTGCATCCGGAGCTGGGAGGGCGGACATTTTGTATAGAGGAAGAATAATCTGAAGGTGACTTGAGCCTTAAAGATTATCTGTAACGGGGGTCCTTTCTAAGAGAAATGAAATCGGATAGAATAGAGACGGCCGTGCAAGATAGACAATCAGGTTGCAGATTATTCAAAGATACTATCGCTAGAACTCAATAATCTTTAAGGGCTCTGCTACCGATAAGAACTTGGTTTTTCTTTCTGATGAAGACTGGAGAGAATAGGACTGAAGGGCGAGAATGAACCTGAGTACTTATACTCCGAAGGCCTCTATTCTCTGCTCCTAACTCCTTACTAAGTTCCGGTGAAGCCTTTCCTTGGTGCCGGAACAATACCACTGCTACCCCGCTTTTCTCTAAGCGTCAGCAGGTGTTTCCGATACTCAAGGCAACTACCCTTAGTCAAAGCCTTTGTAACACCTGCAGCCATGGTTGCCACACAACCGGGGCCTGCATGAATGAGCTGCCGCTCAGATGTAAGCTTAATCATTGCTGTAGAGCTCTCGCTTATTGTAGACTTCCCTAGCATAGTCCCTGCCTCTTCGGCGGTCTTACAATGCTCAGAGGATACAGAGGATCACCGGGCAATCAGAGCTTCACTCTGGCCAGTCTTCTAGTCACTGGCGAGGCATAGACTCGTCAGTCATTGCTCCCATGAATAGATCCCCTTCCTAGCGCCCGGAATGTAGTTACTCTAACAGCTGGTAGCTAACCACACTGCCGGTACTTGCATATCACCGTGCAACTGGCTTCTAACAATAACTCTCAGCATGTAACCGGGCCCTGTGTGTACTCATACACCAGACAGTTGAAATGGCTCCGTTACACCGAGTGAGACCGCGCTGCTATAGACTCCTCCATTTTCCTGACGTTTGTAAAAATGACCGGGTCTGCATATGAGGTGTAGGAGCCATGCCGAAGCCATGCAGAAGCCGTGTAGTTCAGTAATGAGTGATAATACTGTCCGAATAGTCTCCGAACTGAACCATAACAAAGAAGTAGGTCACGGTGAAATGTGAAATGTAAATAACGCGAGTACTCTGTCCTATTCCCAAATATTAGCAATGCCTTTTGTCCCACGAGGGAAGACTACTCCCATGGGGAAAAAGGGTCAAATTATTGCCCTGTTCTCACTTACAGGAGTACGAAGAATGACACTATCTCAGATATCAGCGAATTCGCAGGTGAATCTATCTACCTGCTGGAAGATAATCAATGAGGCGAGGAGGAGATCACAAGAGAATGGAATTGCGGATCTCTGTGCAGATGAAAACATTTTACCCAAACCTAATGCCGATAGAGGGTGCAATGCAGTGGTTACTGCCGAGGAAAAACAGGCCTTGATTACTCTCACTTTATCGGGTTATACCCATTGTCAAATGTCCTATGCTGAGCTAGCACGAGCAGCTGGTTTAGATATCAGTATTCAAACTGTTAGAAAAATACTGGCTGAGGACGGAATACACAGACGGAAACCTACAGAAAAACCCTTCCTAAAGGACGAGAACAAAGCGACGCGTCTTGAATTCTGTCATCGCTATCGAGATCAGGATTGGAGGGTAGTTGTTTTTACAGATGAGTCTTATTTTGAGACTGGTGATCTACGAAGGAGGCACACAAAGGGTGTTCTACGACGCGTTGGGGAAGCGTACATTTCTCGGAATATCAATCGCAAATTCGGTACTGGAGCAACTATTATGTTCTGGGGAGCTATTCTCTATGACCATAATGGTAATCAACTCCCGTATCATCTGTATAAAACACCTTACGAAACATCAGAGGAACGAAAGCGGGCGGATCTACAACTACAGGAGGAATATGAGCAAGAATTGAGAGAAGAGGCATTTCATTTGGCCAACGGCGACTGGTTAGCTCAAGACCCTGAGCTAAAAGTACGTAAAAAGGATAGAAAGGGTGGTATAGATTGGTTTATATATCGTGAGAGGATACTCAACCCTCAATTCTATCCCTTTGTACTAGAAAAGATGGCTCAACGGCCTGGTGTATTACTCATGGAAGATAATACCCCATCACATATACATCGTTATCATAACTACCCCCGAGAACAGCTAGGTATAAATAAGCTGATATGGCCCCCCAATTCCCCGGATTTGAATCCAATTGAGAGAATTTGGATGGAAATAAAGGACAAAATCAAATCACAAATAGGGGTAGATTTTACTGCTGCAGCTATACGCTGTCTACTTTTACAAGAATGGACAAACTACCCAGTTGATAGAGTAAATCATCATGTATTATCAATGACAAGACGGATCGAAGCCTGTATTGCAGATGGCGGAGGAAACAATTTCAATTTTTAAACCCCAACGGGCCCTGTTGACAACCGTGACTATCAAAAGGCAAAGATCGAGTGCTCACCCATGATACTAAAAGCAGGTCAATTTCCTCCATGCACGGCTCCTGCACCTCATATGCGGACCCGGTCATTTTTACAAACGTCAGGAAAATACGAGTACACACTTTACCAATCATGCACGCATCAACCGAATACTCGTAGTCTCCTGGCGTTTTTGGACTGGGCCACTATTGCATACACCCAAAATCAGGATCTTGGCGTATTTTTGTATGGTATGCAATATCAGTCGCGTTCAAAAACGTCAGGAAGTTACGAGTAGTAAAAACCGGGGAATTATCCGGGGCTCCCCCGGTACTGAAGCATTTAAGCGATGCCAGGATAGGGCTAGTAGGAACCCCTACAGTTTATCCATTGGTAGCTCAACGTCAATATGAGAACTATATCCATCAATTATTAATCTCTGTATGCATATGATGGGTTTCTTGCATGTCGGATTCGGGGCAATAGCAGACGGTCGAGGAGGGGGCTGAACATTCCAACACTGAAGTATATACGTATATAAACCATTGCGTCGGTCCGAGTTACTTTATCCTCACTACCTGACTATTAGAGTATCACGTCGCCACAATCATGATGTTCTCTCGATCTCTAGGCTTATTAGTTACAGCAGCAGCCCTTGTGACTGCAACACCTTTCGAGAACCATGGAAGCTCCACAACAGCTCCCACCGTCACTATAAAAAATGGTACCATCGCAGGCAACTACCTACCCTCCTTTGGCATTGATGAATTCTTCAGCATCCCTTTCGCCGCGCCTCCTGTTGGTAACCTCCGTTTCAGACATCCCCAGCCTCCGAGCAAATGGAACGGGACGCTCGATGCCACGGAACATGGGCCATCATGCCCCGGCTTTGGACCGTTTTCCGAAGGACGGTCGTTAGATGAGGACTGCTTGACCTTAGATGTTGTCAGGCCGTCTGGCGGGGGAAAGGGATTGCCAGTTATGGTCTGGATTTATGGAGGAGGGTTCTCGGGAGGAGCGTCAGCGGACCCAAGATATAATCTATCGTATATCGTTAATGCGAGTGTGGCCATCAAAAAACCTGTTATTGCCATTGGTATCAATTACCGGCTGATAGGTTTTGGGTTTTTGGCTGGACAGGATGTTTTCAATTCTGGAAACTCGAATGCTGGCTTGTTTGATCAACGACAGGCACTAAGATGGATTAGAGAAAATGTGGGGGCTTTTGGTGGAGATAAAGATAAGGTTACCATTTGGGGCGAGGTATGTTTTGTTGTGCCCCTGAGCTCGAGGGTGGGGATTATTTAAGCTAAAAATTTGAGGCAGTCAGCGGGGGCGCATTCGGTAGGGTACCATCTACTTGCAAATAATGGAGATAATGAGGGGCTGTTTCGGGCAGCAATCCTGCAGAGTGGATCGTCATTGGGACCCACTTGTACGTGAACTCTTTCAGAGTATTGATGTAGCTAACAGGTGGCAGTGAATTCATTGGGGCACTTTGATGAGATATATAAATCTGTTGTAGATGTACTTGGGTAACTTACACTTTCCCGCGTTGATACGGTGCCCTGTGGTTCTCATGTTGATTTCCACCAATAGTTGTACAGATACCTCCGATCGTCTCCAGTGCCTACGGGAAGCCCCTTACGAGCAATTATTTGATGCACTACAGCAACAATTATACACGTGGACACCAGTAGTTGATGGTGATTTTATTCCGGGATGGCCGTCAGATCGTATTGCAGCTGGAGAGTTTGCGAATGTGACTCTTTTGATTGGTGCAAACACTGTAAGTTTCCGAAGAAGGATGACCAATCTATTGGCGTCAGTGAAGTCTAACATGATATACAGGATGAGGGAACTGCAACGTTCTATGGCCCTAGAAATATCATTAATACCACAGAGGACCTTAGAAACTATCTTTTGAGTGTGTCATGCCCCGAATCCCTAGAATCGAACAATGCGGTTCTAATATAACTGTGTAGATGGGTCACTCCCGGCCACAACTCCTTCTTCGGTGGAAAGACTCCTGGAATTGTATCCAGACGACCCCGTTCTCGGATGTCCCTTTAATACTGGGTCTGAGAGATTCGCGGACCAAGGATACCAGTATAAAAGATCAGCTGCTATAGTTGGGGATTACGCCGTGGATGCGGGTAGGAGACAAACATGCGAGGCTTTCGCGAACAGAGGGAACAAAGTTTATTCGTACAGGTTTGACCAATCACCATGGAATGGTAAATTGAAAGACATCACAGAGGTGGCTCCCGTGTATTCAACCCATTATGCGGAGGTGAGTCGTCCTAGGCCAAAATTCATGATTGGAAAATAACTTGCCTTGCCATAGATCGGCTTTGTCTTTAACAATCCTAGTACAACCATATCGACATATGTGGGGCCAGATCCGGCGGTGAATGCATTATCGCGCTTGATCTCGAGGAGTTGGATAAGTTTTGCTCATGATCTAGACCCAAACAACCATGGAAGTAAGTGTATATTCTTTCGGTTACCCAATAGAACCATCGTTTTCACTGACATCCCCTTGAATAATGTAGTTGAAGGTGCCACAAAATGGCCTGAATATAATTATTCGGCGTCGAATATAGTTTTTAATTCGAATAGAACTTATGTGGAGAAGGATGATTATAGAAAAGAACAACTAAAGTTTTGGGGAACGATCTGGCATGAGGTGGGATGCTGATTGGATCATTTAATTCATTGGATATGTTGGTTTATAGGAGGCCGTGGCAGTACTACAGCTACCGGCGTTTATGTAGTTAGTGATAGGTCAAGTTGAATTGACTACATACTGAGCTTATTGTTAGCTTATTTGTCCTTAAGCTTACTACATAAGAGGCCTGAGCTCATCAGAGAAAAGTAAGGGGTCGATATTTTTCTTCGTCCCTTCGTGTGTATCAACACTTTTAGACCTCAGCCTCATACAACTACAATTGTTCGCATAAAGCGTGATATCGATATTCCGACGCCCTGTGTTGAAGAAACGAGTGTCGATCGAGGAAACGATTAAACCAAGATCGAAGGGGAAGTAGAAGCAGAAATCGAAAAGTACTTAATGTTCTTTCCTGTCAGATCTACCAAGCATATTTAATATTTAAGGTTCTAATTCAGAATATATCAGGAAAGGATCAATGTTTACCAAAATATTATCGTATGCCATATTTGTTCTATTATTGGTGACAGACGTGGGGGCGATTTGGACAAAACGGTAAGTCTCTGTTGCGGTTGCAGATATGTATTGTAATGGTTGAGGGCTTGAGCACCATGCAAGACCGTCTCTCCTCGCGAATTATCTCATCGCATTCCCCCGCTACCCCACACCTCAATTCCCCGCACTGGCTATCCTATCATCATTGAAGGTCTCCTTCATTTTCTTTTCCCTCTCACTCTTCATCCTTCTGCTCTCCTCATCCCTAATCGTGGCTCCCCTTCCTCGTCTTTGTGCTCTGCTTCGTCAATTCCCCCGCTCTCAGCTCCTCTGCAACCAAAGCTTCCGTGCTTTACCATCAAACAGGTTACTTACAACTCTCAGCATGGGTTCTTATCCGAATCCGCCCCCAGCTCCTAGATTCACCCATACTCCGGAGACGCTGAAGAAAGACACCCAGCGTATCATCGAAAGCTCGCGTAAGCTCGATGACACACTTGCCGCAGAGATCACCCCAGAGAGTGCTACCTTCGAGAATGTTGTCAAGCCTTTGTCTGAAGATGAAAACTACATGAGTCTCGAGGTTGCCATATTGGGTTTCTATCAGTATGTCAGCACAGACAAGGCTCTGCGTGATGCTAGTAGCGAGTCCGAGAAGGAGCTTGAGGTCGGTAACCACACATCTGGTAGAAGGATGTTCATATGGCTGATATCACGCATTACTCCTTAGGAATTTGGCATCGAATCTTCTATGCGTCAAGACATTTACAAGCTGGTTTCAGCTGTTGCCGCAAAGAATGAGTCTGGTTTAGACCCAGAGTCACTCCGTCTCCTAGAAAAGATGAACAAGGATTACATCAGGAACGGTTTGGCCCTTCCAGAAGACAAACGCGAGCGTTTCAAAGAGATCAAGAAGGAATTGTCAACCCTTGGTATTGAATTCTCAAAACGTCTCAACGAGGAGAACGGTGGAATTTGGTTTACTCCAGAGGAGCTCAAAGGCGTCCCAGAAGATGTTTTGGGTGGTTTGAAGAAAGGTGACGGAGAGAATGAGGGAAAGCTTTGGTTGACTTTCAAGTACCCTGACCTTTTCCCGGCCATGAAGTACGCAGTCAATCCAGAGACAAGGAAGAAGATTTTTATTGGCAACGAGAACAAGTGCAACGAGAATGTGGCAGTCTTTAAGAAAGCCATTGAACTTAGAGATGAGAAGGCTAGGCTCTTAGGATTCAAGTCCCATGCTGAATTTGTTCTCGATGCTAAGATGGCAAAGACTCCTGAGAAGGTTTATGAATTCCTCAACGACCTGCGGGAGAGGCTTATCCCCGGCGGAGAGAAGGAAATTGCTCGGTTAAGAGAGTTCAAGAAGGCTGACACCCAGGCGAACAATGTGACTGATGATGGACATTATTATCTCTGGGATCACAGGTAAGGTGGCTCTTGGAGTTTATTATTAGGGCAGAGTTAACAGATTTGATACAGGTATTATGACCGTATGCTTCTTGAGAATGAGTACAAGCTCGATGCTCAGAAAGTAGCCGAGTACTTCCCTATTGCACATACGATTGAAGGAATGATGAAGATTTTCGAGACCCTATTTGGGTTGGAATTTGTTGAGGTCACGGGTGACGAAAAGCATGTCTGGCACGAGGATACCAAGCAGTTCCGCGTTTATAACGAGAAATCAACAGACGGCGCGGAGCAGGAATTTGTTGGATGGCTTTACCTTGATCTCCACCCCAGAGAAGGCAAATATGGACATGCAGCCAACTTCAATTTGCAACAGGTATATCACTATCCGGGCGCCACTGCGAGACCGTTTACTGAAATAGTTAATGTGTATAGGGTTTCTTAGACAAGGAAGGGACGAGGCGTTATCCTGCAACTGCGCTCGTCTGCAATTTCTCCAAGCCAACAGAAAAGAAACCATCTTTGCTACAGCATGATGAAGTGGTGACCCTTTTCCATGAACTTGGTCACGGTATCCACGACCTCGTTGCAAGAACTCGCTATGCACGGTTCCACGGTACGAATGTTGTTCGTGATTTCGTGGAGGCACCTTCTCAGATGCTTGAAAACTGGTGTTGGACCGCATCTGAGATTATCTCTCTTTCGTCACACTATGAAACTGGCCAGAAGATTCCCGAAGATCTTGTCAAGACCATAATCAACACCAAGCATGTTAATGACGCGCTCTTCAACCTCCGTCAGCTTCACTTTGCCTTCTTCGACATGAAGGTCCACACTTTGCAGGCTCATGAGGATGTAAAGAAACTTGACCCTACTATTGAATACAACAAACTCCGCACGGAGATTACACTCTTGGACCCACCACAAGGGCTAGGTGATGTAAGTATAAATTTGGTCTCCAGTCGGCTTTTAGAGGTAACAATGCTCACATAATATCACAGGACTATGGTCACGGTGAAGCCACCTTCGGGCATCTCATGGGCGGGTATGATGCTGGTTACTACGGATACCTTTGGTATGTGCATTCTATTCCCACATTAATGCTATTGAGATCTAACCGAGTATACAGGTCCCAAGTATTTTCAACCGACATGTTCTACTCGGCGTTTAAGGCAGATCCGATGAACGGTGTCCAGGGAAGGCGGTACCGCCATACTGTACTTGAAAGAGGTGGAAGTCAAGATGAGATGGAAACCCTCAAGCAATTTTTGGGTAGAGAGCCTAACTCAGATGCGTTTTTCGAAGATTTGGGACTCTCAAAGAAATCGTCTTAGACGCATTCTCCTATGTAGCTGGACTTTGGACAGATGGTTACTAGCTGCATGTACTGCTTTCATTTTGAATAATTCTATGGGTGATGTTCCTGCTGCAGTGCATACAGTGTTAATTAACGTTCTGCTTCTTGTAGAATGCTGTTAAAATACATGTATGTATGGTGCGCACACTCTTAAAGGTGACACGGCGATATCTGGAAGTGGAACAATCGTGGCTGCAAGGTGAACTCCAAGGCCAATGAGAGGGCTTATTCCTAGCCACTGTGCTGCATTCCTGCCGCAATTCACTTTTGAGGGGGTATAAATGGGTATAATACTGTTCCACTTTGCTCAGTCTTGGCGCCTTTTACATACAAAAATCTGCAACTTCAAACTCTTATAACTTTTTAACTAAAGTAGATATCAAAAATCTGGAAATAAAAACTAAAGCTCATCACTAGTACTACACTTTTTATTTACCGATTTTGTTTAATTTTTTTTTTTGGCAAAGTTATAAGCCCTTGACTTTTCGCCCGATTTTCGTCACCTTTAACAGAGGGCGCACCATAACTTATGTGACGGTAACAGTTCAGATTTATGTATTCTGTTCTTTCATGTGCGCGCCAAGCAAAGATCGGCTCAGGGCTCACCAGCCACGCTGGTTGAGGTTAACAAGCAAAGCAGCGGCTAGAGACGGAATGTCGCAATCAAGCGTGGGGTGAAGCTGAACCTGCATTGCCCCTCTACCACCCCTAACCCTCCATTGTATGTCCCTCTGGGCGTTTGCCTGCTTTCTCCCATTCAGGTTCTTACACCAATCTTACCAGACACCTATTCACCTGTCTTCAGCAGTAATGTCGACTCAAAAACCCCTCCCAACGCTGCCCACGAGCTTCTTAAATAACATCACCGAGCACATCGGCGATACACCACTCGTTCGCCTCAACCGCGTTCCTCAGAGCCTAGGCATCAAGGCGACAGTCTATGCGAAATGCGAGTTTTTTAATGCCGGTGGCTCTGTCAAGGACAGAATTGCTAGGAGAATGATTGAAGAGGCCGAGAAGGAGGGAAAGATCAAACCTGGAGATGTGTTGATTGAGCCTACCTCCGGAAATACGTTTGTTACTCCATCTCCCTTGGATACGTATAGACCATTGGGCTAATTGTGTGATCTGAAGTGGTATAGGGCTAGCTCTGGTAGCGGCAGTCAAGGGATATCGCGCAATCATAACCCTGCCAGAAAAAATGTCCGCTGAGAAAGTCGCTGTATTGCGCGCTCTCGGTGCAGAAATTGTTCGTACACCTACCGAAGCAGCTTATGATTCTCCGGAAAGTCATATCGGTGTAGCGAAGCGCCTTGAGAAGGAGATTCCGAATTCCATCATCCTAGACCAATACGGAAACCCAAACAATCCTTTGGCTCATGAGCTGGGCACTGCGGAGGAGATCTGGACTCAGACCGGCGGGAAAGTGGATGCAGTTGTTGCCGGTGCGGGAACAGGTGGAACCATTACCGGAATTGCAAGGTAAGCTTTTGTTTCTGCTCCCCCGCTTAGACCTTTTTTTCTCTTCTTTTTTCTCTTCTTTCTTTTTTTTTTTTTCCGGGTGTGTGGGGTGGGTGATGAGATGAGGGGCAGGGATGGCGTGATTTCAAGAGCTAATAGGAATTTGTAGGGGTTTGAGGAAGCACAATCCAAACGTTCTCGTTGTGGCTGCGGACCCAGTCGGTTCAATTCTGGCAGTCCCTGCGTCCCTCAACAATTCGCACGAGGGCTACAAGGTTGAAGGTATCGGTTATGATTTCGTCCCCGAAGTACTTGAACAAGGGATTGTCAATACTTGGGTAAAGACTACCGACCGCGAGTCATTCCTGTATGCCCGCCGTTTAATCAAGGAAGAGGGCCTTCTTTGTGGTGGCTCTTCTGGCTCTGCATTGTCAGCCATGATCGATGCTGTCAAAGCGAACCCAGAACTCAATCAAGAGGGAAAGGTCATTGTTGTTATTCTCCCCGATTCAGTCCGTAATTATCTCAGCAAGTTCGTTGACGACACTTGGATGGAGAACAACGACTTCATCCCCACTCAAGAGATTGAGCAAGCCCGGGAAACTCAGCAGTGGCAAGGTGCCAAGATCAAGGATCTAAAGCTGAAGCCTGTCGTTACTGTTCGTGATACCGCCACTGCCGAGGCTGCGATCGAGATCATGCGTGAAAAGAGTTTCGATCAGCTCCCAGTCCTCGGGAAATCTGGAAGGCTTGTTGGTCTGGTCACTCTTGGCAACTTACTCAGTTACATCTCCCGGGGATGGGCTACCAGTCATACCACTATCAAAGAGGTCATGTTCGATTTCACCAAGATCAAGGAGATTGTTGGTGATCCGAATGAAATTGGATCTGTTAAACCCACAACTACTACTACTGCGGATGGAACCAACGGCCCCCAGTGGAAGCGGAAATTCGAAGAGATTACTCTGGATACACCCTTGAGTGCCCTCAGCCGGTTCTTTGAGCATAACTCTGCAGGAGTTGTCACTCAAAGAATGGGCCCGGGAGAGGGTCTATCCGTTATTCACGTCGTTACCAAGGTTGATTTGCTTTCGTTCCTCGTTAAGGAGGGGAAGAAGGAGAAGGTCACAATTTCTGCTTAAGTTTCATATTTTTGGTTCTATGCATGGGTATCGGGTGGATGGTGAACGGGGCGCTTTTGATTTAACTTCAACGTTTTTTTTTTTGCGGGCTGAGGGTATTACAATGGGCGTGCTTGGTATTCTGTCTTCTTATGTTCTTTTTTGTAATTACTAGGAGTAGATAGACGGTTTGTTTAGCCTTTAGTTCAACACATAGGCGTAAAGGATTGGAGGGATTGAATTTAGGGCAACGTACAAGTAAACAGCTGACCACAGTTGTTTCATCTATTTTATATTTCCTTGTGTTGATGTGACGGAGGATAGAGGGAAATTCTGGTGACAAATTCTGTACTGATTGACGCTGGGGGCGGAGACCAGCGAGTGTCATAAACCCCAGCCCGCATACACGAGTGGGCAACCAATCAATAAATAAATGGCTGGTTCATGTACACAAAGTATCACTCGGTGTTGTTGAAAATGGCATGCTAGTCACGTGGAAATATGCCGTGCTGGTAGATTCTGAGTGCGGTGCATATTATAGTCCACTTTAGGGTCAGGGATTGTTTACGCGTTGCCAAACGCGCGCATCACAACACTTCTTTCTTTCAGGTCGCGAGAGCTCCATTGACCTCTTCCACCCTCCCCCTCCACCCCACTTCACGCGATTCAATTAATCCACGGAATTCATCTCTCAAAATGTCCGCGCCGACCAAACGTCGCTCTGCCCGCCAATCCTCTTCACAGCAATCAACCCCGCGCCCTGGCCGCAATGTAATCAGCACACCCCTCCCTCCACCAGCAGAAGAAGAGAATGCCGGTACATCACCACTCTTTTACGGTGGATTGACCTCGAGTCCCATGCCTTCGAGTGATCCAGTTAGGATGAGTTCTCCAACACCGGTTGAGGAGAGGAGAAATCCTTCCGCCGCTGCGGCAGGTGGAAGACTGGCAGCCATTCGAGGGAGGGCAGCATTGGATAGTGACATGAGTGGGGGTAATTTATAGCGTGCTTTTTTTTTTATGATTAAAATTTCTAACAAAGCGTAGGCTCTTCACCATTGAGATATGTACCTAGTTCTTCCCCAGATAGAGACATGGCTACACCAAGAGATGTGAGGACCCCGCGAGCTGGCGCTCCAAGTTCTAGCGCGGGTGTATTGAGAAGGTGCGTTGACTACAATATTATGGTTCAGCTATCTTGAACTTCAATTCCTCCTACCTTACTTTACTACATCCTCCAATTCTGCTCCGTATCGCGGTTTTAATAAGCAAGCCCCCAACTAATACTCGTAGCAACATAGGAACGGAGATACAATCGCTAGCACCCCCGCTCGTTCCCGCCGTGGAGATTTGCAATTTTCCGGTATCAACTCTGCTACCCCTACTCGACGCCGTCTCTATGTTGATGAGCAGGGCCTTCCTGTTCGGGGTACTGATGCTGCACACCCTCCCTCCGATGCTGCGACATATAGTGCTGGTCCTACGTCAGAAATCTCGGACGGCCCTAAACGTCTCATTTGGGGTACCAATGTTTCCGTGGAAGAGTCTACCCAGGCGTTCCGGAAATTTCTTCGAGATTTCAAACGTCGCTATCGCATGCGCATGGACGATGAATTTGTTGCACCAGGTCAAGGAGAGGAGCTGGTTTACGTGGATATATTGAGGCAGATGAGGGCTCTCGGGACAAGCAATCTGAATCTTGATGTGAGAAACCTTAGGAGTTATCCACCAACGAAAAGGTTCTTTCACCAGCTCCTCAATTACCCTCAAGAAATCATTCCGATCATGGATACCTGCGTGAAGGATACCATGCTGGAGATGTTGGAGGAGGAGGGTGCAGATGAACAAGAGTATCAAGAATGTATGGAGAGGATCTACAAGGCCAGGCCATTTAATTTGGAGAAGAGCGTGAACATGCGGGACTTGAATCCAGCAGGTGGGTCTATCACTCCTTACCCGAGGCCAATTGCTGACAAAGGTGATAGACATCGATAAGGTTATTAGTGTAAAGGGATTGGTTATTCGAGTCACCCCCATCATCCCGGACATGAACAAGGGTATGCCACGCAATTGGAATCTGGTATTTCATGCAGCTAATTTCTGTAGCATTCTTCCGCTGCCATGTTTGTGGACATACCGTCACGGTAGAGATTGACCGAGGCAAAATTGCCGAACCCACCGAGTGCCCGCGCGAAGTTTGCAAAACCCCGAATTCGATGCAGATCGTCCACAATCGCTCCGACTTTTCGGACAAACAGGTCATCAAGCTACAAGAAACCCCGGACTCCGTTCCTGATGGCCAGACACCCCACTCTGTCTCGTTGTGCTGTTACGATGAGCTGTGCGATGTTGCAAAAGCTGGAGATAGGATCGAAGTTACTGGTATCTTCAGGTCTGTGCCTGTCCGTGTCAACCCAAGGCAACGCAATATCAAGAGTTTGTTCAAAACGTATGTCGATGTCCTTCACATTCAAAAAGTGGATAAACGCCGCATGGGACAAGATACATCAACCCTAGAAGAGGAGGTCGCAGGCCAGGTTGCGTCTGATCTTGACGAAGTCCGAAAGCTCTCGGATGAAGAAATCGACAAAATCAAAGCGATTGCCAACCGTTACGACGTTTACGAGCTTCTATCTCGCTCCCTTGCCCCTTCAATTTACGAGATGGAAGATGTTAAAAAGGGGGTCCTACTTCAGCTGTTTGGTGGTACCAACAAGACTTTCGAAAGAGGTGGTGCTCCTCGCTATAGAGGTGATATCAATGTTCTACTCTGTGGCGATCCTTCAACTTCAAAGTCTCAGCTCCTCCAATATGTCCACAAAATTGCTCCCCGTGGTGTTTACACTTCCGGTAAAGGTTCATCTGCAGTCGGTCTGACTGCATATGTCACCCGTGATCCAGAAACTCGCCAGCTTGTACTCGAGTCCGGGGCGCTTGTCCTTTCCGACGGCGGTGTCTGCTGTATCGACGAGTTTGATAAGATGTCAGAAGCAACCCGCTCTGTCCTCCATGAAGTGATGGAACAGCAGACAGTCTCGATCGCCAAAGCTGGTATCATTACCACCCTCAACGCTCGTAGCAGCATCCTTGCATCAGCCAATCCGATTGGCAGTAAATACAACCCCAACCTTCCCGTACCGCAGAACATTGACCTGCCACCTACCCTTCTCTCACGTTTCGATTTGGTGTACCTGGTGCTTGATCGCGTCGATGAGACTGCGGACCGCAGACTGGCGAAGCACATGGTAGGGATGTACCTCGAAGATAACCCAGAGTCTGCTGCTGGCATTAGCGAGGTTGTTCCGATTGAGACACTCACAGCATACATCTCATATGCTAGACAGAATATCCATCCAAAGTTGTCTAGCACTGCTGCGGACGAGTTGGTAAAAGCCTATGTCGAGTTGAGAAAACTCGGGGAAGACGTTAGAGCCGCTGAGAGAAGAATAACAGCCACAACTAGACAGTTGGAGAGTATGATTCGTCTTTCTGAGGCCCACGCCAAGATGCGATTATCAACCGAAGTCACTGTCGACGATGTGACCGAGGCTGTCCGTCTCATCCGTTCTGCTATCAAGGAGTCCGCGACTGATCCTCTTACCGGACGCATCGACATGGATCTCCTGGGAGGTGTATCCAATGCCGAAAGACGTAGAAAGGGCGACCTCAAGAGCGCTCTGGCCAGTTTGTTGGACGAGATGAGCAGAGGTCCAGCTGCTGCTGCTGGAGGTGTCAGATACACAGAGGTGTTGAAGAGGCTCCAGGAGCAAAGTGGAAAGAAGGTGGAGAGCGGAGAGTTCGCCGAGGTCGTTCGGGGACTTGAGACGGAGGGAGTTGTCAGGGTCAGCGGTGATGGGGCCAGGAGAGTAATTAGGAAGATTAGTACCTTTTAGAGGAGGGTTCTTTTTTTTTTTTTTTTTTTTTTTTTTTTACATGATACCATAAATGTAGCTGATTGACGACGGGGATGTCGCGGCGCAATAAGAGGAAATGAAATGAATGATACCAGTTTATGGATAATAATACTCTACATACCTTTCTCATCCTCCTCGTATACGAGAGATCCCTGCTGCGAGTGACGAGACATGATTGGACAGTCACGACATGGATTCCCTAACTGGTAACCCAGAAAGAACTCCAGCTTCTGTCTGTCGTATCCATCGTCGTGCCTTACAATGCATACATACCCACAGTAGCTATGTTTCATATGTATGCAATGACCTAAGAACTACTCTAAATATGTATGCAATCTCGCATGTCTCCCAAGGCGCGCGCAGAATATTCGCTTAACGCTCCCTGCGCTGGGAAATATCTGCGAGACAGGAATGCCGACGGCTATCACACGTGCATATCCGGCGTCTGCTGTACAACGCAGCAGAGCGAGCTCCTAATTCAGTGACATATTCCCCACCTCATGGTCCCGCGGGTGGTGGGTGGTGCCACTGGCGCTGGTGGTGGTAGAGTAGAGACAGCTTCCATTTCCCTGGGAATCCCCCCCCCCCCCAAACGCGTGCTGTTTCCTCAAACATATCAAATCCCGTTGAAATCTCAATCACAATCTTGACTGCATCTTAAAAAGTGTGTTCTACTCTACTTCTACTCTACAAAATACGCCAACCCTGTTTGTCACAAACGCCTTCCCCCACCAAAGACATGTATGCGTATGCGGTGAAGCATCTGCTGTACACTCCCCCGGAGCCTGTGCCACTGCCCCCGTCGCTCCCGGGCCCGAGCAGACCTCCGGCTGTTGTTGTACCTTCGAGCTCGCGCCAGCAACCTTCGGGCTCGCGCCAGGAACCTTCGAGCTCGCGCCAGGAACCTTCGAGCTCGCGCCAGGAACCTTCGAGCTCGCGCCAGCAACCCTCGAGCTCACGACAGCAGCCCTCAACGATCATACGCAAGAGGTCCTCGAGTCTGTTTAACCAGCCATCGAGCTCAAAGCAGTACCCGCAACGAGAACTAGAGATAGACGAAATGAGTATAACAGCCCTTGCCAATATCGAAGTCGATTCTTCATGCGTATGTTCCCACCCGTGGAATTTGGTGGTGGTGCGTAGACCTGATGGCAGAGATGTATAGGACAAGGAGCCTGCCGAGACGGAATGCGATAGTATGGAACAGTCGTGGGTCTCCAGAGCGTACAAGTGTTACGGGAGAGTGGAGCGGTAGGGCTGACGGGGGGGTGTAGGTGCGAGTTCTCGACGGAGTCTTTGACATCGAGTATTTATGAGTGGGTATTGGATGGTTCCGTGTTTGATGGATAACGGAGGTGTTGACGGTGGTGTAGGTACCGGTATGAGAACGGACGGAGGTACCACGCGTACAAGGAAGAGTATGAGATCAACTGTCTGTTTTGTTGTTTGGAACTTCAATCACTGGTTGCTGACCGAGGAGCGCGCTAGGAAATATATTCTGCCCAACGACGAAGTACGAAAAACCTCTAAATTTTGAGATAAGGATCGATCGTTATTGACCGTGCCCGTTCTTTATTATTACATTAGGCCGAGCAAGACCGGTTGGCTCCTCCGGCAGCACAGAATACTACTTGATACTAATAAAATTATTAGACTGGATATACTGCACCACACGTATCTTGTCATGATGGACGATGAGCTCACTCTCGCGCCCATAGACCCGAACCCTCGGAAAATACTGGATGTGGGCACAGGCACTGGGATATGGGCTATCGACATGGGAGAGTAAGGGATTGCGTTCCTTCTGCAAAATAGACGCTGATATGGAATAGGAGATATCCATCTGCCGAAGTCATTGGAACCGATCTCTCACCTATTCAGCCCTCATGGTAGCTTCTCCACCCGCCCGATACTGATACAAAGGTCTATGCCTAACAATACATTGTTAGGGTCCCCCCAAATGTACATTTCCAGATTGACGATGCCGAGTCCGAATGGACCTTTCCTAAGAACTACTTCGACCTGATACACATCCGTCACCTCAGCGGAGCCATCAAAGATTGGGAAATTCTCTATACCGAAGCCTACAAGTAGCTACCCAACCTTAACCTTTAAGAGTATGATTCCCACGGCTAGTTTGTATGCTGATATACCCCCCCAGACACTGCAAACCCGGTGGTTGGATCGACATCGCCGAATACGAAATGGACATCTTCAGCGACGACGGAACCCTCCCGCCCGACTGCGAGCTCAAGAAATTCTATACACTCGTCTCGCAGGCCGCCGATATTACTGGCCGCGAATTCAACAGCTCTGCCAACTTGCTCCCCGTCATTGAGAAGGTTGGTTTCGTTAATGCGCACCATACAATGGTCAGGATGCCACTGGGTCCCTGGGCGGCGGACAAGAAGCAGAAGGAGGTTGGCGCATATTTACTACTAAGTACGGAGACTGGCTTCGAGGCGTTTGGGATCAAGTTGTTTACGCAGGTGTTGGGGATGGGCACCGAGGAGGCGGGAGCGCTGATCGGGGCGGCGCAGAAGCAGGCGAACAGTAAGAAGATGCATGTGTATGGGAAACAGTGAGTGAAAATCCTTTTCTTTTCGGGGGAGGTGGGGGGGATCGGAGAGCTAACAGCGGGGTAGTCATCTTTATTATGCGCAGAAGCCGTTGGATGCGCAGAGTTAGTTTTGGAGAGGAGATTGGGGAGTTTGGGGGGGTATCAGTTATAGAGGTGGGCCCGCGAGGGAAATTGTCTTTGTGTATGAGTGTGCATATAGTCTGTTTTCAAATGGACTGCGGCTTGGGAGTAACAATTTGATCAACGGTTTTGAGAAATTTGCAAATTCCATGGAATATAAACAGTTTATCGACAAGGGACCTCTGGATTACAGTGCTGTTCATAGCCCTATACACTGTACTATATGTACCTACTAAACGTTAACCCTACGTATACGTTCTTGGACTGCAATCCTTTGGAAGATTGCTGAAAGCCTCGCTGCTCTACGTAAAGTCTTCCTTGTACTGAGACAGATGCCGGCCAATTGGTTTTCATAAGAAAACCCTCTTACAAAAAAGATGAATACAAAGAAGGCTTGATATTTCGTCCCTAGGTTTGACTTTAATTCCAGTTCGAACCGCTGGCCCCTCACGAAGATGCAAGGTCCGTTCACTGCTCTAGTTACATGGGGCCAAGAAAGCGCTGTTCCCCAATGTGAGGTTGTTTCTGAAGAATGTGAGACCGGATATTAGGCACAGAGAAAGCAAGCTGTAATTTGAGCTCTAGACCCTTGCCGTTCAAAGGGGGATAGCTAGGATCCGATACACCCGCCTCACGAGGATATCATTTTGCGAGTGATCGGTTGTGATCCAACTAAACTTTTAAGTATGTACTTTTATTTTGTTTAATTTACTTGATAGGTGCAACCCCATATCTACATGTACATGTGATTCACTAGTCTGCGTCCCTAACATAGTTAACTAAGCATTCTATCCCCCCCCCAGAGCCTTCCTTCAGCATCCACCAGTACTGCTGAACTTCGGAAAGATCAATAGAAGTTGTTATTACATGTATTTGATTGCGCCCAGCCAGAGGGCGCGGCCATGCAAGGAAAACATAGAAGAAACACAAGGTGATAGACTTAAGCAGCCAGGACCAACGAGGATGGGGTAACAACTTGTCCCTTCTATCAACCAGAGATGTACCTCAACCACTTTACCTTAGCCTACCCTGCCTCCGGTTCAAACCTAAATCATGATCGACCGCGTTCACCTTCTAACAAATAGAAGTTGCAATTGGAAATCGATTGAATATAGAATGATTTCAAGACTCTATACCAATACATTAACAAGAGTAACGGGATTCGGGATGCGGGATCCGGGAATATACCCCTATATAGAATGTAGCTTAGATCCGCTAACTGGCCATTCTAGATCTCGTCCCGGCTCCACGGCGCGCGCCAGGATAACCAGAACTGAATTTAATTGACGCGGAAAACATCATAATATAGTAGTTGAGGGGCCCTGGTTATAGCTAGAGGTAAGATATACACCCCCCGTCTACTGCGTTGGGCTGCTCGTCGATGCTGGCGATGGGTGAATCGTCTTATTCCTGTTTTTTGTTGAAGGGTATATATATATATATATATACAAGCATTTTCCGGCCTTTGGCCGGAGTAGGAACTGTTATGGCTTAAACAAGATCAGTTTACCAACGCTTAAGATCACTGAAACCCCAAGATGCCCTGTGCACATATCTGATATACTATTTGGTTGACTCAAGGTATGTTGGAACCAATATCTACTGGCTGACTCAAACATATTTGATAGAATATCTACTAACTCCAACATATTTGATAGAATATCTACTTACTGACAAACATATTTGATAGAGAAAAAGAAAACCCCTCAAACCTGGCCAATCAAAACCTTTAAATAACACATTGCATATCGGTATATCTATATACTTATTAGATATATACTGAGTGTTGGATATTCAAGCTTAGACCTATGAATTTGAAGCAGACGGTACCTCCTTGCCGCTAGAGCCCTAATGCAATTTACCGGGTTGCGTTCGAATATATAGTCACAGCAAGAGCGAGGCTTTCTCTACTAAGTTATTGCGGTAAGGTAATACCCCCCAAAAGGATAAGGGGTATGTGGCAAAAAAAAAGGACGTGAATTAATGAATTCGACCGCTATCTTAAAAGCGTACGTACGCGTAAGTGGTAGGCAACATGGCCTGGTCGCGACAAGAGATTAGATTTCCAGCTCTCATTTCTATTTACTCCGGAACCTCAGCGCGCCGAGTTAGAAGGTATTTCTTTTTTTGCGTTTTCAATATCCATAGTATACTGTCAAGGTATCGAATGTATCATTTGATTATCCTAGACCTTAATCGCCAGCTCTTGAGAGGATCATTGAATATCACTCGATTCTTTTTTTTTTTTTAATTCTCGATATTATTGTGTATTTGCGTGGATGTTCTGTGATTGATTGATTGATTGATGGTGTGGTGGCCTTGCGGTTGGTGGTAACGTGAATTGTGTGGCTTGGTTTAGTAGGTGCACTCACTCACGGGGTGAAGGCGGATCCTGTCTGATGGCGGCCAGGGATTTGAGGCCAATAGCAGAGTCAACTTTGGACCGCCGAGGCTAAATTACTGTAAACACAACCACCAGACAGGATCCGCTGTCACTAGATGAAGCGACTGTGCTTTTGTGTATCCATGTAGATCTGTATTTGCGGGGCCCAGAAGCTGCTAGATGTCGTTGGTTTACTTGGGTTGAGGGTAACAGCTTTGGGGGCGAAAAAGGGTGGGCGAGCGGATGCGTGGCAGGCATCTGTGTGTGCGGCCGTTGGCTTCGGTGATGTCGAGGTGTGCGTGGGCCGAGCATTCTGTGGGAATCCCTATCTATATCCGTGATTCTGTGCAAAACCACCTGGAGCGCGTAATGTTTCTGCCTACTGCATATTGTTAACCGTAACTTGCCAATAAATAATTAATCCAGACTGTTGATGCACCCTAGTATAATCCTCAATTATTAGCAGAAGCCAGAAAAGCAAGAACTCGGCACCAATGGTATAACGTGTTTCACCGTGAACGTGATCGGACCCGGGAAAGTGATTCAGATTTGTAAGCCCGTTCGTGATAATGTTGGAATGGATGAGGATCCAGCGGAGTGATACTTTACTAAGTCAAAGAATCAATTCCACTTTACTATGGCCCGCAAGCAAAAATCTAGTTCCGCTCCCACTGAAACCCGAGTACAAGCCGCCATTAGAGATTATAGGAGCGGCAAATTCAAGAATATCAAAGATGCCGCTACCGCCCATGAAATTACCTACGGAAGGCTCAGAAACCATCTTGCCGGCAAGGGACCTAAGGGAGAAGCTCATGTTGACCAGCAACTACTCACTCCTATCGAGGAAAAGGAAATTGTCAAGTGGATTCTTCGACTAGATGATTGGGGATTTCCGCCTCGGATGAAAAATGTGAAAGACATGGCAACTCATTTTGTTAGAAGCCATGGGGTTAAGAATCCCACTGTAGGGGCCAATTAGATGGCCAGATTTATTACTAGGCATCCCGAACTAGAGTCCAAATTTGCTGTAAGACTGGATAAGCAGTGGGGGTTTGCCAACAATTCACAAATCATTCGTGAGTTCTTTCAGAAGGTAAGAGACCGATTGTTGAATTTTTATTAAAACTGACACTCTGTATCAGCTGTTGGCGGTAGTAAAAACTCACCAAATCATTCCAGACGACACTTATAACATGGACGAGAAGGGATTTCCTATGGGAAAATCAGCGGCAGTTAAAGTCATATGCAAGAAGGGAAAGAAGCGGAATTTCAAAATACAGGATAGACTACAAGAATTAATTACTGTACTAGAAACAGTATCAGCTATGGGTCGAGTATTACATCCTATGATTGTCTACAAAGGGATTGCACAATATCAATGTTGGCACGCGTTAGTTAAAGAGGGAGATAAAGTATTTTTTAGCTATTCGAGTACCGGCTGGACCAACAGAGATATAGGACTCGGTTATTTGACACAGAATTTTGATACTAGTACAAAAGATCTGTAAGCATACCTAAAATCTTACATAATATACTAGTATGCTAATACTCAATAGAGCAGCTGGGCGTACTAGGTTACTAATAATGGATGGTCATACATCACACGTTGTATGGGAATTCTTTGATTATTGCCTTAGCAATGATATCATTCCTCTTTGCCTACCCGCTCGCTCGGGAAAGGACCTATACAGTCAGTAATATCAAAAGGGCATTTGAAGCAACTGGAATTTACCCATAAAATCCCAGACGGGTACTTAACAGTTCCAAGCTTAACGCTGAGGCAGCGAAAGCCCGCCCCAAATCATTAACCTCACCCAGAACCCCTACAAATGGGAAGAGTGTATTGAGTCATACAAGGCGTACCATGGCTCTATTTCAAAATACCCCCTCAATTCATAGGAAGGTAATGGTGGAGAAACTGGCAAAAGCCGCTGCAGTTGAAAGTGCAGAAAATGTCATTTTGAGAGCGGAAATTGCAAAGCTTAGGGAGAAGGCATCTAGTACGAAGGAGTTAGCAAAGATAAAAAGCAAAAAAGTCTTAACAAAGGCACTTGTAGTATCAGCAGATCTAGTAGTTCAGTTGCGAAAAGAACATGAAGAAAAAGAAAGATTGTTAGAGGCAAAGAAATAGCGGGCAGTAGAGCGGAAGAAGACAAAAGAGTATGATCTAGATAGCGCCACAGATGCTTTAGAGGTCTTGACTGTAGGGGAAAAGAGTTTGGCAGCAGTCCGGTCATCAAGAGTTTTGAGAAAACGTACATAATTTTTTATATTGAGTGGCCGTGAGGTCTTGTCAAGTGGCCTCAAACGGCCTCGAGGGAGTCTTCGAATCTGATATCACTTTCCCGGTGCCGATCACGTTCACGGTGAAACACGTTACTAAAGATCATTCCCTTCAACCGTGGCCGATATAACCTACCAGTGTGAATTTGGCGTGTGCTCAATACCAAGTGCTCACAGCATGACCCGGAATCGCTCATACCGGTAACCGCCCATATTTGACACGGTAGAGAGTTCTGATGGGCTGATGGTGCTTCTCTATTGTGGTGGGGAATAAGCTTACGGCTGAGGCCAGGCCTGTACATGTCCACTAGGACGAGGCGCAAATTCGCTCAAGAGTGACGCCAGATATTATCGGGTGTTGGTAGAGGGAGCAACAGCGTAGGGGAAGGACAGCATGGGGGGGTAAGGCTGTCTGCAATATGCGTGGGTCGAGTGATTTCCGGTGAATGGGCTGACTTTGTGGGGGACGAAGGCGCAGGCACGCAAGCTGCAACAATAATATGGAGGATCCTCTCGCATGTTGTAGGGACATTACACGTTACATGTAATTGCAAACCACAGATTCTGTGCGGTGGGGAGGGGCGAATGAGGAGGGCCGAGTGATATTCCGTGACTGTTGGTTAGCGTACTGCAAGACTTGCGCGGAAAGCTACATGTATGTAGGTGGTGTCTGCCGGTGTCCATCTGGGTAGTCACCAGTATCGGATAGAGCCATTGTCCCTGCCCCCGAGGTCTGATGGAGTTGTGTATATATGCTACAATCGGGGGATCCCTGGACGCACATTTCACATGGCCTCTCGTATTCTCTCAACGTCTACCGGATGAAGTAAAATCTCTTCTCTGGCTCGTTGACCCGTGCATTTTCCTACCAAAGGGCGGGTTCCCGTCTACTGCTTTCTGTGTAGCTCCCCTGGGATGTGTAATAGCTGTCGGCTCCCTCTCTTGCAATACCCGGACCCTAACAGACACGCGCGCCTAGAGCTGCCCTTCTGCACTGGATGCTGACGACAACCCGCAGTGCCAGGGTTAGGGTTCTGTTATCGCCCGCTGCACCGCTGCACCCCGCTGCACCCCACAGCACATGCACACCACAGCACATGCACACCACAGCTACATGTATCTCTGATATTATCATCCCCCCCCCCAAACACACCCAACACCCAAGATATATGGACATCGCCGCCTTCTCCACCACCCAGCTCGCCCTCCTCACCGCCGAGCGCAATGCCGACATCACCCAGCAGGCCACGCTCATCTCGCAGCTGCCCCCCGCCGCGCTCGTCCGCCACGGCCTCGCCATCACGAACCTGCTCCCGGCCTCGCAGCGCACGGGCTTCGGCGGCCGCACCATCCTCGAGCTCGAGCCCGACAACGCCATCGTCAGCGACGCAAAGATCCCGCCCCACGGCGTGCGCCAGGGCGATATCGTCCGGATCGGGGTGCAGCCCGGGGGCAGCGCGACCAAGAAGGAGAAGAGCGAGCTGGGCGACAACGGCGTGGAGGGCGTGGTCCACAGGCTGTTTGAGGGCCGGATCGCGGTGTCGGTGAGCCCGAAGAGCGACGAGGGCGGGGCTGTGGACCGCGTGCTGACGGCGGGCAAGCGGCTGTGGGTCGTGAAGCTGGCGAACGAGGTGACGTTCGCCCGCATGGAGAGGACGATGGGCTTGCTGAAGGGGATCGGGGAGAGCGGCGGCGGCGGGAGCGGGAGCGGGCTGGTGGACGTGCTGTTTGGGAGGAGGACGCCGGCGGTGCTCAAGAGCGGGCATGAGAGGGGGGATATCTCCTGGTTCGACGAGGGGCTCAATGACAGCCAGAAGGAGGCCGTGAGCTTTGCTCTTGCCAGTCCGGAAGTCGGTATGGTTTTTCCAAGATCATTGACTTGTAGAGCCACTCATTGACCCCCCAGGCAGCTCTCATCCACGGCCCGCCCGGCACAGGAAAGACGCAGACGCTCCTCGAACTGATCCTCCAGCTCGTTACTCCCCCGCCTTCGTCCTCCGGTGACCCCGCGACCCCCAAAAAGATCCTCGTCTGCGGCCCCTCCAACATCTCTGTCGACAACATTGTCCTGCGTCTCCCCGCTGCCCTGCCCATCATCCGCCTCGGACACCCCGCACGTCTCCTCCCCCGCGTCCTCGAGCGCTCCCTCGACGCCCTCACGCGCACCTCCGAGGCCGGCGAGATTGTCAGCGACGTCCGCCGCGAGATGGACGACCTCCTCTCCAAGCTCAACGCCGCCGGAAAGTCCCGCATCAAGGGGAAGGCCCGCAGAGACGGCTGGTCCCAGGTGCGCGATCTCCGCGGCGAGTACCGCCGCAGGGAGGACAAGTGCGTGACGGAGGTTGTCCGCGGGAGCAAGGTGGTGCTGTGCACGCTGCATGGCGCGGGGAGCAGACAGATCCTGAGCGAGAAGTTTGACGTGGTGATCATTGACGAGGGCTCGCAGGCGCTCGAGGCGCAGTGCTGGATCCCGCTGCTGATGACGAGGGGCGGCGTGCAGAAGCTGGTCATTGCCGGGGACCCCATGCAGCTGCCGCCCACGCTCAAGAGCGTTACCGGCAGCATGTCTGCGCCGGTGCTGGACAAGCCGGCAAACAGCACGGACGTGCCCGCGAGTCTGGAGGTCACGCTGTTTTCGAGGCTGCTGACGCTGCACGGCGAGGGCATCAAGAGGCTGCTGGACACGCAGTACCGCATGCACGCGGACATCATGGCGTTCCCGTCAAAGGAGCTGTATGGCGGGCTGCTGATTGCGCATGACAGCGTGAAGGAGCATCTGCTCACCACCCTGCCCTACGAGGTCCAGGAGACGGAGGACACGGCGGCCCCGGTGGTCTTCATCGACACGCAGGGCGGCGAGTTCCCGGAGGATGTGGCGGGCGACCCGGTCAAGTCCAAGGCGGTGGCGCTGGCGTCAGAGTCCCGCTCCAACGTGCTGGAGGCAAGGCTGGTGGCGCTGCATGTAAAGGCGCTCATTGACGCTGGCGTGAGGGAGGAGGACGTGGGCGTGCTCACGCCCTACAACGCGCAGGTTGCGCTGATATCAAAGTTCCTGCGCGAGACGTATCCGGCCGTGGAGGTCAACAGCGTCGACAGCTTCCAGGGGCGGGAGAAGGAGGCCGTGGTGATATCGCTCGTGAGGTCGAACGAGAAGCGCGAGACGGGGTTCCTGAAGGACGTCAGAAGGATCAACGTCGCGGTGACGCGGGCGAGGAGGCATCTGTGCGTGGTGGGCGACTCGGAGACGGTGGGGTGCGAGAGGGGCTTTCTCAGGCGGTGGATGGAGTGGTTGGGCGACGAGGCGGTGGTGAGGTATCCCGATGTGGGGGATGTCCTGGGGGGGTGGGTGGCGGGGCTGAACGTCGTGGAGTAGTTGGGGCTTATTAGATGGGTTTTTTTTTTTTTTTTTTCACTGCTAGAATCAACTGCAATGATTCCAGCTTGTGTTTGCGCGTGAGATCCGTGATGGCTGTGGTGTCTGATGGGGTGGTGATGTTTATGGGTGCAGTAGTCGTGATATGGCGGTTTGGAAAGGTCGTAGTTGTCGGGTAATGATAGTTGGAACAACTTAATTACCTCATGCTCAAGATACTACATGTATGTATGTATAGAGAATGGCTAGAATGGCACAGCTCATCCGCCCCCGGCACCCGCAACCTAGCGTAAATTACCAAGGAAGCCCCCAAATATACCCAT